TCCCGTACACATCCGATTTCGCGATCGGATGCGTGTTGATGATCCAGTGCATGACAACAACGATGAAGCCGCCGCACATCTCGTCCTTTGGGCGAGATGGTTGTCTCCCCTAGTGTACGACTTCCGGGTCCACAAAACTCGGAAGGTTGAATGTCGTCGCACACGTGTTGTCGCGACGACCGAATAAATTTTCCACGGAGAAGGCTGCTTTTGCGCTTGACGCAGACGCAAGAGCTGATCGAGTTTCTCTCAGCTCCTTCCAACATTGTACGTCGGAAGGTGACCTCTCACTTACGAGCAAGTGCACACTAGTACCGTGTGCACGTCTACTTTACGATGTAAGGAAGACGGGTGTCTTCCTTTTTAAGTGGGGGAGGGGCGCTACGGTTGATGTCGATCAACCGCAGAAGACAACTGATACGGACATATCAGTTGTAACGACATGTGCGAGAGCGAGAGCCCGCACAAGGCAGCCCGATGCCTCAGAAGAAGATGTGTCAGTGCCCAGCACTGACACAGTGAAGTTACGTGCGAGAGCGAAAGCCCGCACGAGACAGCGCCACGCTGGGGCCCAAGGTGACGTGTCACTACCGAGCACTGACACTGTGAAGAACTACGAGCAGGTGGAACCTGCTACGATCAATGGCAACGGGTCTGTGCCGGGCACAGACACCGCGAAGAACAGGCAGAGCCTGTTGCAAGCACAAGTGATGTATCAATACAGGGTATTGATACTGAGAAGTCTCCCGCACAGACATGATCTACTACGATCACGTATGTAGTATCAGTGCCGGGCACTGATACAGAGAAGACTCGCACACAGGCGGGTCCTGCTGTGAGAACAAGTAATACGTCAGTGCCAGGCACTGACGCTACGAAGAGCCACGCACAGTCTGGGACTGATGCGAACACAAGGTGCGAGGCTGTGCAGGGCACAGACGCAAAACGGTCAACGAGCTGAACCCGGGGTTGAGCTCTCAAGTGCTGGACTTTGTCCAAGACGCGAAATTTTTGCTTCTCAGAA